CGAAATTTCTACAAAACCAAGGGGTTAAACAGTTTTTGTCTTTTCAAAGTTCAGTTTATCTGACTTTTTGGCTTAGTAAAAATTTGGGAAGCCTCCTTTTCTAAAGGGAGTGCTGCCCAAATTTTTGCTGCTTCAGGGAGTTAGATAAAATTGGACCTTGAGAAGTCAAAATCATTTTAGATTCTGAACTTGGCTTTGTATAAATTTTGGTTAGATACTTTCTTCATGGGGAGCGCTGCCGAAATTTTTGCAAATCAAAGGAGTTGGTCAAAATTTCACTTTTCAAAAGTTCAACTTGTCTTAATTTTATATATGGCTTAGTAAAAATTTGGGAAGTCTCATTTTCTAAAGGTAGTGCTGCCCAAAATTTTGCTAATTTAGGGAGTTAGACAAAATTTGACTTTGGAAGGTTAAAGATTATTTCTGTTTTCATATTTAGGCTGATGTAAATTCTGGAAAGACACTTTTCCTATGGGAAACGCTGCCGAAATTTTCTTAGTTTAGAGGAGATAGATTATATTTTGACAGGTGGCGACTCTGGCAATTCACACTGTATGGGGGAGATTCTGCCATAGGTCTACCTTTCTTTGAGCACAGGCTTAGAGGTAGACCTAGGCTTGTCTATCAGGAGAGTCTTGAGTGAGAGTGTGTCATGGAGATTTGATCTCCATACATTGACGATTTAGCTTGGACATTGACCTGTCGTATGGTACAGGTCTTCTTTGGACATTCGATCCAGGATTTGGACTAGTTTCAGCTTGATCCTACGAGGATCATCTTCTGTTATCATTGATAACATGTCGGTTGGTTGATTGCCGACTTGTCGGCTCATGACACAACTTCGCTTACACCTGTACCTCAACTCGACTGCCTTAGCCCTAAGATTGAATATGCTTCCTTGAGGGTTTTAACCAGGCTTCTTTTAATGGCCATTATAAAAAGCTTATGAGATTTATGGAACGTGGGGTTATGACTGGGGCTTAAGTGTGTGAGGTGTGGTGGGAGTTACAGGGAAAAGTAAAGTTGACCAGATTGGTGTATGGCAATGTGGCTATTGTATGTGCCTGTGTTTTATGCAGGTTAGTATTTTGGAGCTTGGTATATGAGCCGTACCTTGGAGACAGTGAGAATCAGAACCATGTGAAGCACGATCTGCATGCCTGATGGGTTTATGTTTCCCCCTTCTTTTTTTTTATCTCGATATCTGATTTGATATATGAGTGATGGGTTGTTTATTTATTTATTGGGTGATTTTGCTTATTGATTTTGATAGTTGGACGTCGTAGTCCGTGGCAGCCGTCAAAGTCAAACCCCTTGACTTTTTTCCAGGCCCTGGATGATAGAGTTGGTCCTAGGGCAATAAGAGACGATTGCCACCACAGGTATGAACCTGGATGATAGAGTTGGTCCCCAGGGCAATAATAGACGATTGCCACCACATGTATGAACCTATGTACCACCCACTCTCCGCAGGGTGCAGAAGAGGGTGTGGTTCTCAACCGTACTTGGCGGTTGTCCAGCTTCGAGAGATCATTCCCTCGAGGCGCGTGTCAGCCGACACTTCAGTGTCGAACGCGACCCTCGAGATTAACGAGGATCGCATGAGTATGGGTACTACATAGTACGCCATCATTGCGATTGCTTGCGTATGCTTGCATTGCGAGTCGATATGAGTTAGCCCTGCGTCTGCGCGGTTTTGTACTAAGTCTCGCGCGCGACGCCTATTTGATTTCCACATCGGAGAGTTATGGGATGACTATTAAGGGACTAGGAGTGTTGTCACGTTGTTTGTTCTGTATCGTTTTGTATTTTTTATATGTATATGTGTGTGTGCGCGTGGCGTGTGGGATGCGTCCTGGTCGACCGGCGACGAGTCGCGCTTGGGACCTCAGCCGCCTAAGATGCCGGTTCGCGTGCGGGTTCGACAGAGGTGTAGTACCGCGTGTACCCCCTATGCTACAGCGAACGAGAAATGCCCTCGGTTGGTCCAGCTCTGCGATTGCATCTGATTAGCTATCGTATTGTGGATTGGTAGCTCGGCGGGGATACGCCCACTGAAGGGAGGTGACAACTCCCATAAGGTGGAGGTAAGTCGTGCCTCGCGTAGGCCCTATCCTGTCGTAGAAGCTCGCGAGAGGTATGGCTGGCCCACTCGGCCGGAGCGGCTTGTGGAAGCTCAATTATGTATTCGCGGCGTGGATAAGACCAACTCCTGGGTGACGTGGCCGGGAGGGTCCAACGCTGCCCTGTGCGGTGTCGGACCGATGCGTCGACACCGAGTTGCTTGGCCAGGGGAGTTACGACTTCCCGTACGGCTTGTTTTCTCTGCTAAGGGAAATTGAGCGCCGACTCGTTGGAGATTAGAGGTTTTTTGCACGATGCTATTCGACAATAACAGATGCAACCAAGATCGGGGCGCGTTTGGTGCTGCTGATCTCAGATATGGAGCTCGATAACAAAGCTCACGTTATCAAGGTCTTTCGATCGACAGTAATTCCTTGTCGGCACGGATTGGTCTTCCTGTACGCCGAGTTGCTTGGCCAGGGGAGTTGCGGCTTCACGTACGTCTCGTTTTCTCTGCCAAGGGAAACTGCACGTTGACTCGCTGGAGATGAGAGGCCTTCTGTACGATGCTGTTCGACAACAACAGATCTTCGAGACTTCATTGTTTTTCTCGGTCGCTATAGACGAGCGTACGTTTTTGCGAATAATTTGGTTTTGTGTTGTTATGGTTCCTCGATGGCTTGTTGGTGGACATGGCTTTTCTCTTTCATTGGTTATTGTGGGATTGGCTTAGTTCTTGCAATAAAACGTCTTGGGTCTTTTGTGGGGTTGGTCTGCGCTTGTTACAAAGGATTTTTTTCGGTTTTTTTTTTTTTTTTTTTTGGACTTCGGTTGGAATTGAGCTAATGAACAGTCGAAGTGACTAGAGGTCAAATCGTGTCCGGGCTCGTGTCTCGCCTAGCGTGACACTAGGTAGTTAGAGCACTAGAAAAAGCATAAGCATTCCAGAGGCATCCCTAAGTAATATCTTTTCTCCTTTTATCCGCAACTCAGAAAACCCATAGCATCGCTTTATTATCTACCACTTTTTGCACCAGTTCAATCCTAGCCTTTCCCTCCATTTTCCCTTATCTTTTGCAAGATCCCGATTATCGAGAAGCGCACCTGATCTTCAAATTGTACACTAGCTGGCTCCACTGTACTCATGATGGCTTGCTTGGAGCATACTGCTTTTCTCTCTCTTCTCCCACGTCTGTTGTTCTTCTTACCTTTTTGTCCGGTCCTCCTTCCGTTGAGAGTGGGGGAGAAGCTCCAAATGTAGAACTGTTCTAACGCCTCCAAGTCGGTCTTTTCGCAAGTTCTGATCGGCATTGCCACATAATGCATCTAGTTCTTCTTCCGTATCCACCTATACACCTTGTGTTCTCTCTTGTTCTTGGTTGCCTCGATCACCCTTCTGTGCTCGTCCCATCTGTCACCAAGTGCCCAGCTCGTCTGTCCGATGTATGTCGCTTTGTAATACGGAGACACAAGTGCGTAAACACATGATTCAGGGTCCCGGCACCAGCCACTCTCGTGTGTCGACCACCCGGATGAGCCATGGAGGAATTTGTTCAGCCACCTAATGTTCCCTTGTGTTACCAGCGTTACTAAAATCTTTCTCAACTCGTATTCTATCTCTCTCCGTTGCGTCTTGCTGCCGCTTCGTCTTCTCGGATTGTGGCATTCCTCTTTGAAACGTTTTCAGGTGTGTGAAAGGTCCCGTCCCTTGTCATTAGTTGTGTCCTTCGTTTCCATTTGCCGTCGGACTGACGCTTTCGTTGATTCTCATCGCCTCGGCTGCCTCCTGTCTTCCGTATGCGTTTGCGGCACGTTGTTCTGCCAAGACGTCTATCATGTCCTCTTTCCGCCAACTGCCGGTTTCAGCTTCTCGTCCTTACACATCTTCTCGAGCTGTTTGACGTTCTTTATCCTCAAATGCCTCTTCGTGTCGTCGATGTACTTCAACCTTCCTTGCGGTCCCGACGCTGCGACCGCGGCCTTTCGCCCTGGGATGATTCGGTCAAACCCCACGGGTTCATTCTGCTCAGGTTCTCCCCTCAGCGGTCGTCCTCTTCCTGTTGCCCGCCGGACCGGTTCTGTTTGCGCGAACAGGCGGTCTAGCCCTCTTAGCACGGTGACGGGAGTCTCGGGTGCCTTCGGTTGGAATTGTTTTTTGTTGTCTACTTGTTATAAAGGTTTTTTTTTCTAGCTTTTTTTTTTTCGGACTTCTATTGGAATTATGAAGGTTTTTTAGGTTTTTTCTGTTGAAATTGCTTCTTGTGGTTTTTAGGCAGTAGACAGCATACATATTTTCAGGATTTTGTTGATTGCCGTTGTTTTCTCGTTTTTGTTAGGGTTAGCAATTTCTGTTTTTAGGATCGATAAGTTTTTTCTTAGAAATTTTCTTTTGTCCGATCGCCATTTTGTCGTTTTTTGGGTTCCTTTTCATAGGGGACAGGCTCCACTGGTTGAATGCAGTTGGAGGCCTGGTGGCCCCTGAATTTGAAACTTGTGTTTAATTGTATTTTCGCCTTGGGGCAGTGGGCCCTAATAATAGAGGGAACCTTGCGCGGGAGCGGGATCGGAGTCGCGAAGAAGAAGAAGGAGATGAGGAAGAAGATAAGAAGAGGAAAAGAACGAAGAGAAAGAAGAAGAAGAAGAAGAAGAAGAAGAAGAAGAAGAAGAAAAGAGTAAAAAAAAAAATATAAAGGAAAATCGTCGTCAATTACTTGTCTGCGCGGAGGTAGCAACGACGATGACGAGGATGGCACGGCGCGGTGACGAGGACAACGAGCACAGCGATGGCAACGTGGCACGACGACGACGATCGCGACGGTGACGATGATGTCGTGGCACGACGACGACGATCGCGACGATGATGATGTCGTGGCACGTCCACGACCAACGTGACGATGATGCTGATGACGTGGCACGATGGCGATGGTCTCGATGAGGACGATGATGACGTGGCGACGACGATCTCGACGATGACGATGATAACGTGCCACGCGATGATGGCGATGATGAAGCCAGGTGGGTCGGGCGGGTTTGAACCGCTCCGATACCAGCGTGACGAGCGCGAGGCTGAGGGAGAGCCGAAGGAGAGGAGAGAGAGGGAGAGAGTGAGAGCACACACACACACACTCACTCGACACGACTGAGGGACGCAGACACAGTGGTAAGGGCACAAAGTCGAAGTCTAGGATTCCCGAATGCCGAAACAGCAAGTCACACTGAGTACGAGTACAGCAGCTGGAAACTGGTACGAAACTGGTCCCCGTACCATACGGGGAGCCGGTATAAGTACCGGTGACACGTACGGTACCAGGGGCATTTCTGCAAAGGCCCCGAGGGCAGAACTGAAAAATGTGGTATTTGAAAGTGGCGCCCGAATTGCAGCATGACGCCAGTTGTCCAAAATCCTACGGTACCAAAGGGGGGGCTTGGAAAAAGGGTTCCAGACTGAAAACGGGATGCAGCCGAAGCAGCAAAAAGATAGACCAGGGATCAAGCCCTGGCGGAGTCCGTAACACTACAGCTTTCTCTTTCGTTGGTATGACCTCTGTCTATAGCGGCTCTTCCCGGCCTAGCTCAGATGTCTGAAGGACAATGCAGAGCTTCCATGCCGTCCCCCACTTCTGCTGCCAAGCCTATCCTGCATCATGAAGTGTTCGATCCACCAGTGCCCGTTTCAGGGGTACGGTGAACCTTGGAGATGAGCATTCTGGTTCACCATAGCCAAAGGTGAGTCTCCTTGTTTGTCCTCCTATGTCTTCTACTACTACATAGCCTGGCTAGAGGTCCTTCTCTTTCACCCCCATAGCCTAGGCCTACTTCTACCTCTTCTCCCTACCACTCCATAGCCATGGAGGTCTTCACCATCACTCTCCAGCTCCACCTTCTCTTCCACTTGTTCTGGCAACATCCCCGTCTGGGCGGAGCAGCATAATGCCCACTTGAAGAATGAACCGAAGAGGGCTATTCTGCTCATTGCAATGTCGGCTGCCTGGCCTTCAGTACCTTGCAATGAATTGCAGTTTCATCAGGGCTGTACACTATTCTAGTTGGTGTTGTCTGCTTTTGCGCTCCTTGGGACTCGATCCCTTGACCTGTATTGTCGCGGTCGTGTTTCCTTGTGTGAGCCTTACTGGGCTCGATCCCTAGACCTGATTGTGGTAGTCTCTGGAGGCTAGCCTTAGAACCACTACGACTCACCTTTTTGTCCTTTTCTGGACCTAAGTGGTAGGCCTGTTGCAGTCTTCCTTTTTTTTTTTCCCAGTTTTCAATCTAGATTCGGTCCTTGGCTGTAGGCTGTCAGTCCTAGGTGGTAGGGTAAATCGAGTCAGTGCAAACCTAAGTGGAAAAAGTGTCAAGAGCAGAGGGGAACGGGTTCTTTTTTATTGTTCTTTTCACAAAGTGCTACCGGAGAGTGGGCTGAACGTTGCTGCGCTAATTTCATCTTGCAAGGGCATTGTCATCACCAGGGAGCCGACAGCCATAGCTGGGCTGGACACCTCTGCTAGGTGGCAGTGCATGGGCTCAGGGCCCTGAGTGCTGTTGGACACCTTCTTACAGCTGTGCCGTGTTGGGGTTACTTCAGCTGCTGTCGAAGCAGCTCTTCAATGACTTTGTGAGCGGCAGGCTCCATCTTCATCATGCTGGAGCTCTTCTTCTTTGTGCAGGGAGCTACTCTCCCCCGTTGAGCGAACACTTCATCTGCAGTGGGCATCGTGGTTGGGCTGCTGCGTGCCGTGCTAGGTTCAGGAGGGTTGGAGGCGACTGATGGGCTGTTGGGTTGGGCGCTGTGCCGTGCCGTAGCTAGAGCTTGAGTGGAGGGAGGAAGAAGAAAACTCCCAGATACTTCGATGATACTTGTGTAAATGATCGGTTCCTGGGATCTGTTAACTGGTGGGATTCTTGGGCAAAACAGTGCGTTGATTGGCTGGAGGGAGTGGGGTATTAATTAGAATTGATTAATTTCAATTCTATTTTTGGTTTTGAGTGCTTCTGCTGTCTATCCTCTCACCTGGTGTGGTGTGATTTGCTCTCTCCAAGATCTTGTTATTGCGCATGTGTTTGGGAACTTGTGGATGCCATGCTGTATCTCGTTTCAATCAGGCACATAACAACCTCCTGGCTGAGCACTTGCTCGCTCTACCTGGCCTCCCTCGGGTGCAAAAGGCCCACTGGGTGTTCCTGCTTTTGGCAGGAACATGATTTCGGTCTGCAACCCGGCCTCACGGCCTGTATCCACCCTACCCTCTACCTAGGTACGGGCCTGAATACTTGTCACTTCTTTTGCCAGCTACTAGGCCTCTGCTAAGCCCACCGGACGGCAGGGCCTACGTGCTAGGGTCCACAGCCAATTCTATGTTTGTCCCTGGGCGCAAAACTACCTCCCAGCATATCGTCCTGCTAACTTTCAGTCCTGCCCCTGGCTGTCATTGCTACCTTGTCAGTGTCTGAGGCGCAGCCACACAGACACAACCAACAGAGTTAGCACACGTACTGAGCAGACAAAGCATATGCACATTAGTGGTAGGCCATACACACACTTAGAAACACAGCAAATCTCAGCTTGCAGACTCAGACACGTATTTCTCAGAAAACTGACCCAAAGAACAGCATTTTCTCAGAAACTGCAGGAATGTTAGACTCTGGTTTCTGCTGGTCATTGCAGCACCCTTCTTCACTTCAGCCTCCCCCAATCCACGGCTTTTGAGAGCGTGCAAAGAGTTGGGATGATGAAAGTAGGACGGGTACCCTTATGAATTGATAGTAGGAATGAAGTCACAAGAGGGTGGAAAATGAGGGGTGAAGGTCATGGAAGAGAGGATGGGAGTTGTGGGGAGCAGAACTGTTACATGTTGCACCTGAAACGAGGGCCATTTTCAGGCCCTGTGTTGTTTTCAGCCTAAAAGCATGAAAACAAGGGCCTACAGGCCCTGTGTCGTTTTCAGCCTAAAACCCTGAAAACGAGGGCCTACAGGCCCTGTGTTGTTTCAGCCTGAAAGCCTGAAAACAAGGGCCTACAGGCCCTGTGTCGTTCCAGCCTAAACACAGGGCCCTCCAGGCCCTTGGTCTTTTCAACCTGAGACGGAGGGCCCTTTTCAGGCCCTCATAAGAGCGACCTGCCCTGAAACTTAGGCACCAGACCAGAGTTTTAGCACAGGCCATTTCGGGCCCGTTTTGAAGACAACCTTTGTTTGAACTTCAACGCCAGGGTCTGGCACGTTCTGGCATTGGCAAGAGCAGCCTCCTGGACGGGCCAGCACTATATAAGACTGGCCTGCCCTGCAGGCTGCAGGTAGTTCATAGGTACTTCCCAGGCACTTCACGTGCAGGAGGCAGGAGGCAGTTTTCAGCATTCGGCAGCAGCACTCTGGAGGAGCGCTGCAGTAGTAGTAGTATCGTTAGCAGTAGTCTTCAGCGCTGGGCGCTAGTAGGAGCTAGAGTAGCACTGGAGAGAGAGAGAGAGAGAGAGAGAG